TTATATGTGGGTAGTTCGGACTATGGGGGGAGGGCTGTAATGTACTGCCGCCATTACCACGTGTAATGCAGTCAGCCGGACATGCCCGGACTTGCCCGGGCTGGCCAGGCACAAATTACCTGTAGCTTCGGTCGAAAGACAAAGGATCCGTAGGATCCTAGCCGGCCCAATCAAAAGGGCTAGCTTCCCAGCCGGGAGACCAATGGTCGCCCAGTTACTGTAAATTAGCCTATCGGGAGTAGGGGGTGTGTTAGGTGTACTTGGTGGCGGGTTTTCTGAACGCATATAAACCAGCCTGCGAGCTGGGTTCCTTGTCTTGTTCTTCACTAAATAAAGTACTCTTGCTGAAATCACTCTTCGTTCTGAGTACTTTTCACCCACTCTTCCTTCTCCGTGCTCCTCCTCCTCCTCCTCCTCCTCCTGCCATACTGCCCAACACCCGCCCCCTCCCTAGTGAAGATCATCTTCCTTTGTGGCCCCCCTGCAGGGGGGAGGCAGAGAGCAACCAGAGGCAGGACTTTTTCAGTGGTGGCACACCTGGCCTGTGGAATGCCCTCGCCCCCCCTGAGGCTCAGCCAGTGCTGCCCTTAATGTCCTTTAGGTGCCAGGCCAGCATGTTTCTTCCTACCCAGGCTGTTTTTACGTCCTGCTCCTAGCCTCGGAACTTTTAAGTGAAGGCCACTGAGGCTGCAGACTTATTCTGCGCTTTCCCCCCCTCTAACCCCCCCCCCCCGCTGCATTCTATGGCTGACTGGTATTTTTAAATGGTTTTATGACTGTGTTGTCTTATTTTACTTTGTGAGCTACCTTGAGCAGGTCTCTTTAGAGGCAAGATAAACATTTCCTAAAATAAATAAGGTGCAGTTGGTCAATCACATGCCTGGGTGTTTCAACCGTACTTCTTCCCAAATTGACATCTGGAATCCTGAAGGGGAAGCTCAGGGGAAAGGTCATTTGTGGCCGTGTTTCCCAGCCGGTGGGTCGGGACTCAACAGTGAGTCCCAAAGTCTCTGGAGGTGGGTCGTGGGCCATCCCTCCCTGAGGGCTGCCCCAGTCCTTTCCATGGCCCAAACCAAGATCAGACTCTGAAAAAAGGGTCTTCCATTAGTTGATGGGCTGCCACAGAGAGGATGGTGCGGAGTTGTTTTCGGTTGCCCCAGAAGGTTGGACCAGAACCAACGGGTTGAAATTAAATCG